ACTTTTTTTTTTTTAATATTTTATGAGAATTGAGGAGGAAGTGAGTAACTTGGAGCATTGGTTAGAGGAAGTGAATAATTATTGAAATATATAAGCTCTTTGGATAAGTAATTTTGATTAAGTGAATGTTAGATGACAAGATTGGACCAAAAAAATAATTGATTTCCGAAGTTTATTATGAAAAGATGCTTTTTCGAATAAATTATTTATTTAAAAATTGTTCCTTAAACATATCAATTTATGTTATATTTAGAATTATTTGGAAATCAATATTGGGAGGGGGAGATAAATAAAATATAATAATGGAATTAAAATTATAAATGAAAAGGCTTGTAGAACAAGAAAGTTGAACTTTATTTATTTAATTAATTATTTAGTTTTTCTTTCTCTATCTAGCTAATTAATTTTTCCTCCTCCATCTCTTCATGTAATATATATGTTTTAAATAACCTTGTTCTTTATTATTTTTGTACCTATAAGGCTATAACTTTTTCCTTTATCAACCATCATGGTTGACATTTCATCTATTCGTACTTTTTTCCTTCATATTTTTAGTATTTTATCCGCTTTCGAGAAAGTATTCTCTCGTATTGACATGCATCGTCATCTAAAATTTACGTATATATGAACTCATCAATTAAAAATTTAATATCACACCTAACAAAATAAGTTTTAACTTCAAAGGATTGTGACATTAACCAATATATATTAAACTTATGTGACTCAAATCAAGTTGTATAATTTTCACACATGAATTCGATTATTCAAAATTATAGATTGGTTACCCCTACAAAACTACATAAATAGAACTCAAAAAAAATATTTTTCCAAGAGTTCGGGATAATCATCGGTAATACAGTATTGTTTTATAGATATTATGTTTGGTAATATAGGAAATTAATTATTAGGCAGATAACGATAAAGTGCTTGAATCCACTATTTCCTCTAAAATTTTATTATTTACTTTGATCTCTTTGAACTAGCTAGTCATGTTGATTTATAAAATGCTTAATAACTATTAAGAAGTATGTAATAGCAAAATTAAAATAATTTTGAATGTCTAATTTAAAAAATTAACTTTATTTAATGGTTAAACTTCTATTTTTTTAATAAAAATAAATAATTATTAAATACAATCATATTTTTCTTTAATACAAAAAGAGRGAAAAATAATAATAAACAATAACGTTATCAAACGAATCCTTAATCATCATGTAATATCAACCAATACGGACTTAATTCAGCAGTCAAGACATTTTATTTATCTCCCGAAATTTTGAAGCTTAATGTCTATCCCTATATTTATTCTACTAAAAAAGAAAAAATCAATATGCAATATCATATGTAAAATTATGTATATTTTGAGTACGTGTCATGTGTTTAATTTAAATGCGTGACGCTAAGTGAAATTATGTGGCATACACGTTGCAATTTATAAAAAAAAATGCATGAAATAAAAATGCAGCACAATTAATACGAGATATAAATATATATATATATATATATCCAAGTTGGAAATCCGGGGTGGGTAGGGTAGGGCCGTAGGGTAGGGATCGGAGGGATAACTGATAAGCTTGAGATTTTATTTTATTTTATTTTCGGAATTATAATAAACAAAAAGTACAACTGTAGAAGACAGCGTTAGGCTTTTATTACTTAAAATAAAAACCAAATTGTTTTATTTTTACTTCAGCGTTTTAAATGTGATTTGTCGATTTGTAAGTTCCCGAATCCAAACACCTCTTGTCTCATGCCGTATTCCGGGCATGCCGGGCAGCGCTTTTCTAGAGTGGGATGGAATATGGATGGACTGCGATTTCTCAAATTTGAAATAATATAATTGAACTGTTCAATTATAAATTAGTAAATTTTAAATTTGGTTTCATATGATTTTGACGTAATTTTAAATTTTAATATGGTTTGTAGTTTTCAAATTTTTAATTTAGTAAAGGAGATTTGAGTTTAGTTTCAATTTAATATCTTGATTTAGTCAAATTTATCAATAGTAATTGTCGTTGGATATTGATAGAAGAATGAAGGGATTGATGTTTAGAGTTTATTACATTAAATTTTGGGGTTCAGTAAGAAATACAGTAAAGTAATTGAATTTTTCGAGCAAATGAAATATAATTTAGAATCGATCGGTGATTTTTATGCAAATAATTTGAACCAAATTGAAACCGTATTCAAACTATAGGGATCAAATTTATATTTAATCAAATTACCGTCTTTTGTTTATCTTAAAATATTATTTTTGTTTTTGTTCATTTTAGTCCGGTAATTTCATTTTAGTCATGTAGTTTTAAAATATTTACTTTGKTCCATGTACGTTTAAAAAGTAACAATTATTTTATATTAAAATATTTTCGTTATGTGTAGAACTCCTGTTAAAATTTTGAAAACGTGATCGTTTTTAAAAAGTACACATACCAAAACGAACATTTTAAAAATACAATGATTAAAATAAATCAAAATTAAAAGTACAGAAACCAAAATTAATATTACATAAAAGTATGGAGATAAAAAATAAACAAAAGCTAAAAGTTTAGGAACCAAAACAATATTTTAACCAACTAAAATTTATATACATAAACTTTTACCAATTTGAAATTATATGGACTAAATCGTTACAAACTAAAGTTCAAGAACTAAATCGTTATACAGAGACTAAAAGCTGATGCTTTTTAACCTAAAATTAACATAACCCTACGTTTCCAATTTTCTATAGAATCTTTGGGGCGTAATGACTTTCTCTGTGTTGGGCTCGCTTTTTCAAGACAAATATGAACTAAAAGTAATCAACTTGAACGTAGCTCAATCGATTAAGCCATTACAACTTCGACAAAAAATTCGAACATCGAACCATAATGAAAAATGGAGTGACTGATTTATAATTTGTTGTCTTTTTTTCTTCCAGATAAGCTTGATTTGGCTGCCTAGTAGGAGGGAGCGGGAACTCAATGTAACAGTGGTCAAATAGGCAAGGTGAACCAAATTGATCTAACTCAAACCAACCCCCTACTTTCTTTTTTTTTTTTTAATTCAAAACTCCAATTAACACAATTTTCTTTTTCTTGCTATAAAACCACGACATTACGTGGACAATTTTAATTGGTTGCTTTTTATTAATGTTTTTTTTTGTGTGAAAGAGACCATTGTGTTGTATAAAGCATGCTTTCAAGGTGACTACTTGCTATGCTAATTAAATATTTAATAAAGTGACATCATTTAATTGTGTCAAGTTGAAGAGGGCCCAAATAATATATTTTTCATTTCACTTAATTTTTTTAATGCAAATATCTGTATTGAGAATTTAAAAATAATTAAACCTAACTGAATTAAATGAAAATGGGGGTAGAAATGAGGCGAGGAATGATGTGTAGATTTTGACATTGGGAAGAGGGGAAGGTCAAGATGGTTGCGTAAAACTAAAGAAATTCTAGAAACCAAAGTTAGGAATTTAATGGTTGAATAATTAAGAAAATAGAATGGAAATTAAACTTTTTTTAGTAGTTGGTGTTGTATAAGAGTTGAACTAATAAATACCATATCTGCCCCCAAATAACTTACAATATCAGCAAATCTCTCTAGTACAAAATTTGAGCAAGACGGTTTATCGAGCTCCTGTATTATTATTTCCTCTATATTTGTTATGATTTCTATTTGTTGGGTCTTACTTTCTACATCTCTATCTCCATAAATTTCTCACTATATTTTGTGAGTACTGGAGCATGGATTATTTATGTCGGAAATTTGCGGAGATTAGATTCTTCTCGAATTATTCCCCAATTTATTGATTATATAATTTAAAAAAAAATCTAACTAGGATGCTTAATTCTCAATGACTAATCTCCATTTATATGGTTAAACCCCGTAAAGAATCTTCATCTAAATAAAAAAAATTCTTAAACCACCTAATAAAAATATATAATATTTCATGTTTAGTCCGTTGATTATCCATACACACATTAAAATGTAAACATAGTACTCGAAAAAAGGAGGTAAACATATTATAACAAGTCGGGTCCATATGAGTTTAGTTTAGCGGTAGTTTAACACCTGTCCCAACCTCAAGTCTGCAATATCTCAACAAGAAATTAAGAAAGTTAAATTTTACAAAATCCCAACTTTTGAGCTCGATATTAAAATTACAATATATATTTGTTTTAGTACAACACGTGGGAGTAGAGATTCAAATTTTCAACCTCGTGGTTGAATACACGTGGAACCATGCTCTGGTTCGCTTTTAACTGTGTTAGTCGGAAAAAAAGTTAATTATTCCAATACGTTGTTTAAATGTACTTTGCTTTCATCACAAATATAGAATGGTGACTAAAGTTAATTACCAAATAACTTGTCACATTAACTTCATATCACTTATCATTAATGGGAGAGACGCCTATAAATAAAACTCAATCGTTCAATTCTGGGATAAAGATAATAATGAGATTTCAAATCACGTGCTAATTAAATGGCGTATATTATGTACAAATTTTATTTTCGTTGTAAAAAATAGTTTTTGATAATAATTTTGTTATAAAGAGTTAGTTTATAAAGAAGATTTGTTAAATAATTTAGAGAGGTCAAAGATTTCTGTGCACTTGAAAAATATTATTCATATGCTCGAAATATCTCAGTAATTAACAATTATTTTACGCGGTTTTTTTTTTCTTTCTTAATCAACAAGCTGAAAATAACCCGTAAAAAAAAAGAAAGAAAGACAAAAATAGGAGAAAATAAAATCTAAAAAATAGTTTTGTTCAATGTTTTCTCTAAAATCTTTTCATAGAAAGCAGAGAATCAGTAAAAATAAAAATTGTCTCACACGTTGTAAATGATAGCAAACAATTTTGACTGATGGGAAAAAAGGAAACCAAGAAAAAGCAAAAAGAGTTTTTTTTTCTTCTTCTTTAATATAGAATATTGAAAACAAGATTATTTTAACATGCAATAACTTCTTTTTAAGATTTGATTTTTCGAGGTACAAACCAATGACGATCTAATATCATTTGTTTATTAGCTTTCGAAGATTAAAAATTTGGTTGTATCAAAAGACTAAAATGTTATTAAAATAAAATAATTTAATATTTTAATTTATTCATTTAAAATTATTTATTTAAATCGCATATTAATCACCTCAATTAAGATATTAATTGAATTATGAAATTTTCAAATTATCAAATTAAATAATCGTGCACGGGGTAGTTAAAGTGTCGGTCTAATTATGTTTTACAAAATATATATATATATATATATATATATGTTTTTTTCCCTCTTGAGCGAGTTTTACAAAAATAGTTGACAAAGAAACTCGTGTAACAAATTTAAGATCTCTTTCACAATTTACATTTACCTCCACATAAAAGTTGTGGGGCCAACTTTTTCAAAATTTTAATTACTATTTTAATAAACTTTCCCTCCTTTAAAAGATGGTGTGCTAAAATATTTTATTTCATCCCTTGCTTTTCCGCATGTTAATGGTAGAGTTTCTCTTGACAAAATATTTGAATAGAAATTGTCCCTATAGCGTACTCTAAAATGAACTCATATCTTTAAGTTCTATCATCCCAATTCAAATAATGATAGAACTTTACAATAACATTAGTTAACTGAATGATATTTGTTGGGAGGATGTTTTGTATGATTAGAATTGATGAGAGAATTCTATGTGATTGTCATGATTTTTCACCTAATGAATTTTTTTTATGGCACGTGATTTTTTTTCTCAATTTGGGGTTTCTACATAAATTATTTGTTTTCTTTATTATTGTGGTTTCTTTTTAATTTCTAAATTATTTTATACTTATATCTACCGTAAAAGTAGGGGATTTTTTTGAATCACATGTATAAAAATATGTTTTTTAATGCTGCATATTAATTACCTAACGATAAGTCTTAGTTTTAGGATACCACACACATATAATATACATATTGTACTAAACAATAAATCTATCGATAAACAAAAATTCATTAAAACCAATTAAATTTTGATAAAAATACCAAATGACTCCTTAACAAATGAATAACGAGATATAAAGATTCGAACTCACGACTAAGTTCAGTTTGACGTTCTAATATATATATATCTGTTAGTATACTAAAGAGACCATTTATTAGAGTTATTAGATTAGTCAAGTATTATATAGGTAAATATTAGATGGCACAATAATAGCAACTACTAAAATAATTTTTTAATAAAATAAAAAAGTAGAAAGAAAAGAAAAGAAGTGTCCACTGCCCATGGACGGTTTAGAAGTGAAGTTCAGATACGATGTACTTTTTTCCAAACGGGTCAACCCGAAACCAAATATAATTTTAAGGGCCAGCCGGCGGACGACGCCGCCTCCGCCTCCGCCTCCTCGATTCTGTCGTTAAGGCAGACACAGAGCCGCCCTGCCCAACCATTACCGAACAAATGGGAAACGTCTCTGGTCTCCAAAGCATATATTATATTATTATAAATTAAATTCTCTCCCCAATTTTTATACACGAACACGATAAGAAGTAAACGACATCGTAATAACATAAAATATAAATGAAGGACCAGACCAGCTGGCAAGGCAAGTAGCATAAATTAATAATGTTTCTTTTTGTTTCGACAAAACCCTATCTGGTTTTCTTTGTCGGAATTTTCCCAAATACCGGAAGTGCATGCCACGACCATGGAATATAAGATCTCTCTCTGTGTGTGTGGCCGGTTTTTGGCTTCTTGTTATATTCTTTTGTTTCTATATTTCAATTTGGTCCCATTCTTTTAAGTATTTACAA